GATCCGTGAGATCAATTTTGCAAAGGCATGGTTCAGTGTTGACAGCAGGAAAACATTTGACCATTTAGAGGAAGCATCAATGAGCACCATGAAGTAACGAAACGGCCCTGTGAGGGGCTGAATTGGACTGCATATGTCCCCTTGGATACGTTTCAAGAATGCGGGGATTTCATCCCTCACCTTGAGGGGCGATGGCCTAATGACTAACTTCCCCTTAGCGCATGCGGAGCACACGAAATCATCGGGATTCGGGAAGTTCTTCACATTAACATTATGGCCATGCGAGTTGTTAATTATATTTCTCATCATCCTAAGTCCGGGGTGGCCTAACCTATCGTGCCAGAGGCAGAAGAGTTCAGAGCTTCTAAATACGGTCTTTAGGGTAGTGTACACGGGCGGTGCTACTATCTTAGTGTAGTATAGCCCTGTGCCAAATGAAGGAAGCCTTTCGATAACATCTTTACCACCTGCATCCCGCTTTGTGATGAGTAGGCACTCCTTGCCGTTTTTATCATCGGTCTCAGCATGGACACCATTAGCGCGGATGTCTCTAAAGCTCAAAAGAGTACGAGTCGACTCTGGGTACAACAACGCATCATTAATGATCAAAGTTGTTCCCATAGGGAGTATAATAGTGGCTTGTCCGGAGCCAACTATGTGAGAACCGCAGTCGGCGATTGTCATAATACTTCCCGTAGATTTTTTAATGGATTCAAAGTACTTAGTTTCTCGTAAAATGGTATGAGTGGTGGCGCTATCGGCAAGGCACGTTTCCTCCATTCGGGCGCCACACGCATTCTAAAATATGACATCTAATTAATGTAATGAGGAAGAAAATACATTAAAAATAAATGCACACATCTCAGAACATAACATGCTATCATGTATAAATAATGGAATAAACGAACGAAATAAATGTCATCCAATCGCCAAAGTAAAGAATAAGTTTATGCTCTCATAGAGCTTACAATCAAATCAAATTTATTCGAATTTATTGTATCAAATCACGGAATCATGATAACCAAAGGGGTATGCTAAGTAGACTCGGTGAAGAAGCCATTGACCTCAGCCGCAATCTCCATACTAGTGAGCTGATCCTCCTTAGAAATCATCTTGGAGGCAGCATCAACATCTAGTTGCGGCACCGCCGAGGCCACCATGTGGTCAACCTCCATGGCAACATTGGCGTCACTAGAGACAGCCAAAGCCGCCGCGATGGGCACCACGGGGGTCACCGCGATGGGCGCAGCAGGGGGCGTAGAGATCATCATGGGTGCCGCCATGGGCGCCAGTGGTGCTCCCTCCTGAACCAAGGCGAGGTGCGTCTCACGCGCCTTCCGGGCCTTATATGCATCAACGACCTCCTGTGGTGCGCGACACTGGCGGGAGAAATGCTCCACCGAGCCACACCGAAAGCAGTCCTGAGGCCTCTGCCCCCCCTTGCCCGGCTTTTGCTGCTTAGCCGGGGCGGAGGGCTGAAGGCCCTTCTTCTTGCCCTTGCGCCCCCTCTTCTTCTGTTAAGGCTTGCGAACTTTGAGAGCATTCACCTCCTGGCGAGAACTCCCCCAAGTGGTTGCGCGGCAAAGTTCTTTTTCAGAACCTCGTCCTGCGCCTCTGCCACCTGGAGGACGTCAATCAACTCTGAATACCTCGTGTAGTTGCCCTGGCGGTAGTTCCGTGCGGACAGGACCGCGTCAGGGTGGAAAGTGGATAGGGTTTTCTCAATCTTCTGAGTGTCGGTAATCTGAGTACCACACATCTGAAGAGTCGTACAAATCCGGTGCAGAGCCGAATTGTACTCCCCAACCGTCTTGAAGTCTGCAAACCTCAAACGGATCCACTCTACCTCTGCACGTGGCTTCACAGTGTACTTCAGCCGCTCAAACCGCTGCTTAAGAGCGGTCCAAAGGCCAGAAGCACTGCGCTTAGCCATATACTCATCTTTCAGAGTAGGTGACAGGTGATGACGGAGAAAGTGCAGAGGCTGCGCATTCTCAGTTTCGAACTTGGGATCAGTGGCGGCCAGCTGGGCCCCCTTACCGATCGCCCTCAGGAGGGTTCTGCCCTGGATAAAAATCTCACACTCCGAGGCCCATGACAGGTAGTTCATCCCCGTCTGGGCCAACTCAGCAAACTCCTTGTGGACAATTCCGGCCATCTGCAATTTATGCAAAAATCATGAGATTACAGCAGGTAATCTTTTGCACAAATGCGACGTTGATAAACTTATTCAATAAAAAGGACATTCCAATATTTAAAACATGCTATTATATGACTTACTAAATGATTAAGAGTGCTAAACAATTAATCTACAACAGTAAAATCATACAATAATATCATGTTACAAAGGATAGCATGTTAAGCGCATCTAGTGTGTGAAAACTAGCCCAAAAAATGAATTCCCGAGGCATTTTAAAGCCCAAATACGCATATTTCAGCGAAAACAGACAGTTCCAGGGGCTTCTACGCGAAATATTACAGCAGGAATAAACTACGCGTAAAAACAGGAAACTACAGGGGCTAAAACGCAAAATTTACGCGTTGCGCCAGCGCCACTCATTTTTATGCCCTGGATCCCCACGGTCTGGTCCACAGAAGCCCGCTGGGCCGGCCTGCTCAGGGTTCGCTAGGGTTTCCTAGCGCCCGAGCGGCGGCGGCCAGGGCACGCACAACCACGGCAAGCGGACGGCGGCCAAGGCAGCCAGCGGGGAGGCGCGGCCAGCGGGGCGGGGCGGCACGGCCACGGCTGGGCCAGCGCGGCCAGCGGGGCGGCGCGGCGCGGCCACGGCCGGGCCAGCGCGGCCATGGCAGGGCCAGCGCGGCCACGGCAGAGCGTCAGCCGGACGCGGCGGCCATCGGGGCGCGGCCATTGACCCTGCGCCAGCACTGCGCACACCGGGTCCGGCGCGGATCGCGGCAGGCGTAGCAGGCGGTGCGGCGACCGGGCCGGTCAGCGGCGCGCGGCAGTGCGGCGTCAGCAGGACGCGGCGGTGGTGGCCACAGTGCGATGCCAGCGACCAGCAGGGTCGCTGATGGAGTACGGGCGTGACGTACGTCTTGGTTCTTCGTCGTGTTCATCCGGAACGTCGACGGCGCACGGCACAGTAGGTGCGTTGCGGCGGTACCGTAACCATCTGGGTCACGTTTTGTACCGACTCCCTATAGTGCAGTCAACAAATCTCTCTTGATCCAAGAACATCGACATTGGTCGGCGACGTATTCGTCCGCTCGGTTCTTGGGAGAGAAATCCACACCATAGGTAGATTTATCCGAAAAAATAAACTAATCGCAAAAACGGAATCGCGGTAACGAGAGGAATCCATTTTTGCAAAAAGGGGATCGGATCTTATACCTCCGCAGGATCGACGAAAGCCTGCGTGACGCAGGCTTGACGGAGAGTTGATGGAGCGAAGCGTGCTGATAACGTGTTCCGCAACTCCACCGGCGAGTCCGGTCCGAGGTTGCGGAGCGAGAGCGAGCGTCGTAGACGAAGTAGTCGAAGTAGTCGAACACGCGAAAGTAAATGACACAGAGAGATACGGAGGAGACCAGCTTTATTAATCAATGATCAGAGATTACAATAATAGCTCCTCGTTGCTTTATATAAGGACTAAGGGGTCAAGGGATAAATACCCACTTAACGTAAAGTGGGGGAAACGGGAGGGGGCTAGCCCGTGCTATACGCACGAGGCCGCCGCCACCCCTTCGGTGGCCCCGGTTTCCCAACAGCACCCATCCCATCCCCTACCCCATCGGTTCAATCTACGTGAATGACCCATTTTCACCCAGCCGTGCCGTGTGTGTGCCTTGTATCCTTTTCCGAAAAGAAGAAAATGTTGCGCGCGGGTGGCCGTTGTACCCAGAGAACGATATACCTCCGCCTCTCCCCTCCGGTGAGCTGGGCGGCAATCCAAAAACACGGACGAGTCCGTCCAAAGAGGCCAGGACACAGCAGCGAGCAAGAATCGTCCTCCTGCAGCAGCAGTCCACATCTCTCTCACGCACGGATCGTACTAGTACTAGTACTAGTACGAACGTGTGACCCTTTGAACTCGATCGATACGCGGCACCAGTGGCGGACCCAGGATATGCCGAACCAAACAAATTATTTGCCTGTGAGTTTCGACGCAAGTGGAAGCGCAGGGCGATGGCCGATGCTGGGCGTCACCGAGGACGTGTTGTCTCAAAAAAAAAAAACTTAAACCCTCCCTGTCTGTCACTTTGCTACATACACTTGGGTGTGTAAAGTAGAAGTGGATTGCAAACCTGATCCCTGTGTTGGGTTCAACTATTTGGGCATGCAGTTACTCGATTTGTAGTAGCTGTGCATGTGGAGAGATGCATGAACTTGATTCCTTTTGCAGTCAGTCTTGTAGAGGTGGAGCCTTTTTCCGTAGTCCGTAACTCCAAACCGTCACGGCACGGCACGGCACCCAAGAAGATGGTTTAAACTGGACGAAGCCCGGCAATGCACTCAAGTGTTGCAGGTGATGGCTGAGGGGCGTCGTGACATCCGTCCGTCGTATCATTTCCGGAAGATGTTGCGCGGGTGGTGCCCGTGGCCGTACGATACCTCCCCGTCTCTCCCGTCCCGTGGGCGGCGGCAATCCACAAAACGCCCGTCACATGTCCGTGCGTGTAGCATTATTGGGGCAGTATGTATGTGTACTGCAACCTTGTTGTTTTTACTCGTGCAACAGTCCAGATCTATGATCTCTGTCTCACGCACGGTCGCAGCACCCATCGTACTACTAGTACTCTACCAACACATGATCCGGTTCCACCCAACTCATCGAAAAAAAAAAGATCCGGTTCCACGAGGCTATGTGCTGCCCTAGTTGGGGAATTTTTCACGTGTATTCTATAAAATAAATTCCATTTATCAATTCAGCAAGTAATAATGTTAAAGCTTTGCATTTTAATTTGGCATACAACCAATAACACGTAATTGTATGTATGGTTTAAGTTTTCTTTTTGCGGGAAAACTTGTATTACTCACTTCACACAGGATTACAATCAAAGGAGTTAAGCTCAATGGCCTCCGGAGGTCCCGACCCAAGCCAGGTCATAGTTCTTCCCTCCACACGAGCAAAGTTTGCAAGAGAGTTACTAACTTTATTTTGAGCTCTACTAACGTGAGTAATACTAGTTTTACGAAGACCCATGAGATGCTTGACTGATCTATCTTCAAAAATGTATTTTATCATCTTCACTGCAACTAAAGAATCCATCTCGATCGCCACCGGAAGTTCCGAACGCATCAACGCCAATGATAGCCCTTCCATACGCGCTCCTAGTTCAGCTTCGAGGGCTCCCCGACACGAGAACAATTCCCTGCAAGAGGAGAAGATAATGCAGCCCTGTTCATCACGGAGTACCATGCCTGATCCAGGTCTTCCATCCTCTAAAAACGACCCGTCCGAGATAAGTTTCACCCATCCTCGATCCGGCCGAACCCAGCCGCAAGCTGCAGCCACTGTTCTTTTATGTGATATGCGTAGCAAGGCATCTGGCGACACAGCAGTTTTACCTTTGCACGGATCCGCAAACAGGTCATTTTTTATGCATAATAGCGATTCCAAGTAGCTGCATAAAAAACGTTTGGATACCTCTATCAGTGGTGGACACTTGTCATGAACAATCTCATTTCGTACATGCCAACATCTCCAAAGAAGCATCAGTAGCATGGCTCGATCAGTGTCTGGCAACACTTCCAGAGCTTGAAATAGCCACTCAACTCCAATGTTTTTTATTGATTCAATTGCAGGAAGCCGCCACACATTTGCCATCTCCTTCCACAGCTCAACTGAATTTGGACAAACACAAAAAGGATGGTAGTTGTCCTCAATTCCTTTGCCGCAAATTGGACATATGGGCATTGTCTCAAGACCCCTACGGTGCTTGTTTTGCCATGTTGGTAGGGAATTTGTGCATAGACGCCAAGCAAAATTCTTGACTGTAGGAGGAACTTCACAGGACCATACAAGCTTCCAACATTTTCTGCTACCATCCGGAGCCGAGCTTGATGAACCTGCAGCTTCACCGACGGACAGTTGCAATGCTAGATTATAAGCACTTTTGACAGAAAAACTTCCGTGCACTCCTGGACCCCAAGCTAATATATCTTCATGCAATCTTGGAGATGCTCTGATCTTCAAGATTTCCACAACATCACAAGGAAGAAAGTATGTCTGCAGAAACTGTACATTCCATGAACGATTAGTGTTTAATAGGTCTGCCACATACCTGATTCTGCACCTCCCTTGGATCGAGACCGGTTTATAGGAATCTGGTCTTGGAATCCAATTATCCCTCCACACTCTAATACTCTGTCCATTCCCAACTCTCCATATAAGCCCTCTCTTCAATAAATCTAGCCCATGATATATTGCTGTCCATGATGACGAGGCATTACCAGAGAACACTGTATCCTCAATATTACCATCCGGATAGTAGCGAGCCTTCAGTAGTTGAGCGCACAAACTGTCGGGTCTAACAATGAGTCTCCATGCCTGACGTGCAAGAAGAGCTTGATTGAACAAACGGAAGTCCCGGAACCCTAGACCGCCTTTGCACTTAGGTTGCAACAGATGGCCCCAAGCCTTCCAGTGGACCTTCGTTTCCCCTTTTCCGAGCCCCGATAAAAACTTCTCACCATTCTAGTCAGATCATCACACACCGAGTATGGGAGTTTGAAGACCCCCATGATATAAGTAGGTAGCGCTTGGGCCACGGACTTTATCAGTACTTCTCTTCCCGGCTGTGCTAGGTGTCCGTCCCCCCACTGTATCAATCTTTTTGTCATACTAGTCTGAAGATTTTGAAACTTCCCTTTTGACATGCGACCTTCCGGAGTCGGTAGTCCAAGATATCTCTCCTCAAAACAAGAAGTGGTGACTTGAAGCACTGCTCTAACATTTCCCTGTACATCCTCAGGACAGGCATTACCAAATAGAATGGAGCAGTTATCATAGTTTAAGCTCTGACCAGTAGCTAGTTCATATGTATTTAGTGCATTTTTCACATGTTCAGCCTGGTTATGTGAAGCCTAAAAAATAGCATTGTATCATCAGCAAACAAGAGATGTGAAATACCGGGCGCTCGCCGACAAATTTTTAGTGGAGTTATAACATTTGAACTGACACCATGCTTCAGTATAGCAGATAGTCCATCAGCAACGAAAAGGAATAGAAAGGGTGATAATGGGTCACCTTGCCAAAGACCACGTGTTGATGCAAATGAATCCAAGAAAGTTCCGTTGAATTTGACCGAAAACCTCACCAATGTGACACATGTCATAATCTTGTCCACCCATCGATGAGAGAAACTCATCCTTTGCATCACTTGCTTCAGGAATACCCAATCAACCCTGTCATATGCTTTCGAGAGATCAAGCTTGTAGGCACATAAGCTTTTAGTTGGATCTTTCTCCTGTTTGATATGATGAATACACTCAAATGCCACCAAGGCATTATCGGTGATCATCCTCCCTGGAACAAATTATTTTGATAAACTACCACACAAATTATTTTGATACGATACACCACTAGTTCGAGATAGATAGATGCTTCATGTATTTCTTTTGATGATTTACGAGAATATATATAAATCTAAAACCTAAAATAAGAATTGGCTATGACGATAATTGCCGTCGACACACGAATGATTCACGTGTACCCTCAACATCGGGGGTAATGCACCGCAGCTCACGTCGAGGGAGATCTGACTGACAGTGCGATACACAAGACAGCCGGCAGACGCTTTTGCAGACCCGAAACCCCACACGCCTGGTAGGGACCCCGTCAAGGAGTGCGACAGCTATGGGCTGCCCTAGGTCGATCGCTCGCCCCTAGAACCTTGGGATTTGCAGCTCTCAAACTTGAAGAACAAGGAAGAACGAGAGAGAAAAACGACGGAGAGATAAAACATAGATGAAAAGTAGTATGTTTTGCGAGAAAACTTTCAATCTATTCCTTCTCAATCATGGCAGTACAAGGAACACCGAAGATAATAAAAATTACAACCAGGTATGTGGATGACCTAGCAACGGCTACAAGCACTAGAGCGAGCCAAAGGCCTGCCGACGTCATCGCTCCTCCCTCACTGGAGCTGGGAAAACCTTGTTGTAGTAGACAATTAAGAAGTCGTCGTGCTAAGGCCCCATACGACCAGAGCAGTAACCATCACCGATGAACAAAGTCGTAGATTGAAAGGATCAAACCTGTAAACGCCCTAACTAAGACGAACGAAGACCAGATCCAAACATATCCACCGAAGACCAGCACTGACCGAATCCCGCGAGATCTGACGGAGACACACCTCCACATGCCCTCCAATGAAGCTAGATGCACCATCGGGACGAGGGATAGAACGTGGGAGACATTGTTCCTACTGAGGGACATTGCCGCCACCACACAGCGCCGACCAACACGTTGAACCTAACAAGAACGAGAACGGGGTACCTCCCGCCGGGGAGGTGCCGAGGTCCTCTGCACCTTCATGGCCCAAAGGCCATCAGAGATGAGGCGGACCGGCGATGGCACCGACGGGAGCAGGGGGAAAGCCTTTTCTTGTGAGGGGGAAAGGACCTGACTTGTGCCTATACGTATATAATCAACTGTTTAGTCGAGGTCATCTTGAAGGGGTAATAGGCCGAATAGTACTCCAGAACCCTAAATCTCAATACTTCGAGCTTAATTTCGAACAAGGTCGGTTGGCAATGACCAAAACATAAAATTTATTCGCTGTAATGATACATAATTTATTCATGTAGAAATTTTTTTCTTCTCAGGCCATCTTAATTACGTTTACATCCGTTCCAAAAACTAACGTCAACACATGCCCCCCTGTTTCTTGGCAAAGCTTGCATGCCGAAAAATAATCTATTTTTGTGTTTGCTCTAAGGACGATGTGAACACTCCATCGGCCATTTATATTTTACTTAGGGCAATAATCGTCTATCGGCCATTGCCTATATAGGCTTCTTGGCACACACTCGGGTGGTACTTCTTCAGATACTTGCCATTGAGAGCTCGAGGTAAAAATGTCCCTTGTATGAATTTCACCAAATATAAGTTTCCAGGAAATACTCTTGTGATCCTAAAAGGACCCTCCCAACTTGGAGACCACTTTCGGAATTTCCTATCTCTTGAACCAATTGGTAGGATCACTTTCGACACTAGATCGCCAACCTAAAAATTCTTCAATTTGGCATTCTTATTGTAAGATTTTGCCACTCTCAACTTGTCAGCAGCCAAACATTTATCGTCAACTTCATCAATATTGTCCATCATCAAGTTATAAAAGTCCTCTACCAATAAATCATTTTGTTTGGCTATTCTCAAAGCACTCAAATTCACTTCCACCAATAAAATAACCTCCTGGCCATATACTAGCTCATATGGAGTTACCTTTGTAGCGCCATGCCTTGAGATTCTATGTGCCCACAAAGCTTGATTAAAATTTTATTGCTAGACTCAGCCCGACCATTAGTTTGTGCATAATACGGAGAAGAATTGAGCAACTTTATCCTATACGACTCGGCAAATTCTCTAACTTGATGTGACATGAAAGATGAACCTTGGTTTGTAGTTAATGTTTGAGGAATGCCGAACTCCGTGAATAATGTGCTCGGTTATGAATTGAATTACCTCTGTATGTGTAATATTCTTGAGAGGTACTCCTTCAGACCATTTAGTGAAATAATCGGTTGCCACCAACACGAACCGATGCCCCTTTGAGGAGGACGGATGAATTTCTCCAATGAAATCTAATCGCCAACCCCTAAAAGGCCACGACTTGATAATAAGATGTAACATAGCAGCAACAACCATTAATTATGAAAAAAAAACTATTATTGCCTCTAGGCCATATCTCCTTCACCGAGGACTGGCAGGGTATCACATCATTGTGTGAACCCCTGCGAACTGCTCTGAAAAGGCTGGCATTTAGCTCTAGAACAAGACCTAGTTATAGCGCCGTCGAGGTTATTTCGGGCGTCTACCCGGTTGTTATAGGGCACGAGGACATCATAACAATTGGTTTTTGAGGGTTCCTATAAATATACCTCTTCTTCCCCAAGACGGGACGATTTCCATTCTCTCTCCTCCATTGTTGCAAAGCTTCCTTTGAGATCTTCACTCCATTGCCCCAATCTTGTTTATTCTTTGAGGAGTGAGAGAGGAGATCCATATCTAGGGTTACACCAAAACAATTTGATTTCCCCTATTATCCTCGGTGGATTTTGTTCCTTGAAACCCTAGACGTAACGTGTTGGAGCTTTCCTTCTGTGGTGAGAAGCTCTGGGATCTTGTTGGGAGCCCCCAATTAAGTCGTGCACCAAGCTAGGGGTGGATCCCAAGTACACTCGAGTGGGGGCCCGGGGCCCCACTCAAAGTTTTGAATTCCCCTAGTATTTTTTCATATTTGAAAGAAACAGTTTTAAATTCAACAAACTTGTACAAATAATAATACCGTACCACCCAAAATATGACTAGCACCTAAATTAATATACTCTCTTCATTTTTATTTAGTCTGCATATTAGATTTGCTGAAGTTAAAATTTGCAAAGTTTGACCAAGTTTATAGAAAATAATATAAACATTTACCATAACAAATTTATATGATGTGAAAGTACATTCAATAATGAATCTAATGGTATTGATTTGTTATTGTATATGTTCATATTTTCGTCTCTAAACATAATCAAAGTTTACAAATCTTAACTTTGACCAAAACTAATACGCGGAGAAAATAAAAATAGAGGTAGTACAAACCGTACCACTTTATTAATCTACGTGTACCAACAAATGGCAAAGCCACTATCTAAACATACATCTACATTAATCCAAACAAATACCATGCACCTAGCTCCAAAAAA